CTGGGATGTGCGGGGGGGGGGGGGGGGGAGTCACTGACTTGTTTGGTGCAGCGTCTGCTTTAAAGCCGTGTCTAGAATCAAACCTACAGAACGTCTTACGTCTGCCTGTAAAGATCTCTGAAAAAGCCTTGGGGAGAAAAGAAAACGAATCCTAGAGCTGGCACAGAATGTTTGGTCACAGGAAATGTCCCATCACCATCAGTCACGTGGGCAGCCCAGGAGAGGCGGGAGCACCTTTGGTTTTGTGTGGAGTCTTCACAGTGTGGAGGGGTCGCCTGGACAGCGGTGAAAAATCAAGGCAAATCCAAGTGTCGAGGGGCCCACTCCTCCTCAGACTATAAGTCCTGGGCACAGTGATTCTCTGACTAAATGCTCAGAAAGTCTGCTCTTCAACTGAGGCCAAACTTTCAGCCCTACTCACACACAGAGACTGGCCAGGGAAGAGGGGGCATCAGGTGTGTATGCTGAGAAAGCAGGGCCAGCTCCAAGTCTCATGTAGGGCCCAGCAAACGTATAAATTTGTCCCTCCAGAGGAAAAATGAAATAAAGTAAAAAGACTACGGATATTTGTATACAACCCCATAAAATCCACCAGCTTGCGTTATTTATAAGATAGGCTGGAAAACTTCGCAAACAAGAAATAATTTCTGGTCAGCCAACCTAGGAAAGTCAAAGGCAGAGGTGGGCCACCAGCCATATATCCCACCTAGTTCAACACTTGAGCACCCCAGATCCATTTGCCACTTTCGCCTTTAAAGACATGAACTAGGCAGCTTTGATGGAAATGCGAAATGAAGCTAACTCTGATTAAAGGATGTTGGGAGCTTTTTAACAATTACGCTCCCCAAGTAAACACCCAACATGTCTGCAAGCTGAAGCGGCTGTTAGAGTTAGAAATGGCTGGCGGAGAACTTCAATGCCCGTCTGTTTAAGCTACCCTAAGTGATTTCACGGCTGCATAATTATTCATTAAGTCTGACATTAGAAACATCTCAGATTGGATTGCTCTGGTTTGGTGAATTCTCAGCCTCAACTGAAGTGGAAAGCCTTAAAAAGAAGGGCGCTTCTGATGCCTCGTTCATTTGAAAGGGGGCCAGGGAAGAGCAGGGTTGTGCTTACGTAGGTGCTCCAGCTTTTAACTGGTTAAAATACACGGGCCAGAAATATTAAAAAAGAAAAAAAAGGGATTCAGGTCAGAGAGAGCCAGTATAGAAACAGGCCTGCCTGCTAGACTTTTGCTCGACAAGTGGTGCTAAACACAGTCCTTTGTCTATGAATTGTGAAATACTTTATATACCCATAAAGAATATGTACTTCATTGTGTATTTAACTGCATCAGCCTGCATTTGGCTTAATTGACCAAGAATAAGTCCTTGTTCTTAAGCTAACTATCAAGTTACAGTCAACTCTTAAATATTAACACTCAAATTGAGGAACAAAGATGCAGATAATACAAAACAGAAGATTAGTTTAAATCATACACTCTTGGTATGCGGATTTATTCCTTTTTCTTTTTTCTCTCTTTCCTTTTCCCTCACAATTAAATGTGTATGGTTGATACTATGACATTTACGATACTTTGAACAAAGGGCCTCAGTCAAATTGAAAACTCCAACATAGGAAGGTGCCCCGGCTTGGCTCCACTCTGCTCCCAGGCTGGCCCAGGACCCCAGCTCCTCACAGAGAGCTGCCAGGAAGGCCTGCAAGCGCCTCTATTCCCAGGTGCCTACTCTTCCCAGTCACACAGTCACACCGTGTGGAGGGTGGGGAAAGTAATTAAGGGTTTGGGGTTAGAAAGACCCTTTCATTTTCTCTCCTACTGAGCGGGTGTAAACAAAGATGTCCTGAATGTCAACAGTGACTTAATTAACCAGTGTAGGTGACAATGTCAGGAGGAACCTGAAAGTAAGAGTCACCCACCCTATCATGCTTGGCATAAGCAGAATATTAATCAGCATAACTGTCCTTGCCATTGAAGTCTGTCCCTGCTTTGAGACAATATCTGGATTTGAATCAGAAACATTTCTTTTAACCTGGAATCTTAACAACTAAAACCTGCTCAAGACCAAGTATCGATTTTGTTAAGTGAGGCGAGCAGACCTAACCTAACCACAGGAGGTATTTTCTAATGCACAAAGTACCCAAAAGCTGAATGACGTGAAACGATATGTGATAGACTGTGGTGTCTTAAGACAGGAAGTTGGACATAAACTTCCTGTACCAACAAACCCACTGCCCTCACGTCAATTACAACTCATGGTGACCCTCCGGCAGATTTTGAAGGCTGGAACTCTTCCCAGAAAGAGATTTATCATCTCTCTCCTGTGGAGTGATTAGAAACAATCACCTTTTGGGTTAGAGAAGCCCAACACATAACACAAACATGGTCATTTCAGTGGGATAATACAGACTCTTTCTTGGAACCCCTCAAACATATTTTTCTGGGCATCTCTCCCCAGTTCAGTTCAATGACCATCATTTAAACTAAGCCTCTGAACTAACAAATCACAGAATCTTCCAAGATGAGACTTTCTGCAACAAAAGGGGGGAAGGGTGAGCCCAATGTCAGACTAACTGTGAGAGTGAGGGGACACACAGAGAGAGAGAATATGCTAGAACTGCCCTAGTTAGCTGCCTCCCGTTGTCAAGAGCTCTTTTCTCATCTATAATTAGATCACCTTCCTTCGAAGCTCAGAGCTGAACACCTGGGCTAGGCGGACTCGTCCTGGGGACGGACAGCAGTAGCCACATCTGTACTACCAGAGGCTACAAGAGGGACTCCAGCCCCACAGAGCGAGCTATGTGCAACAGGAGGGCTTCCTCCACAGCAAACCCTTTCTGCAGCTGCCTCCCAAAGGTGCAAGCGTCCTGATATTGTGGCAACTGACGCGACCAGCTTCCTGCCCTGGGAAAGCCCACGTTCCCAGCTGGCTGGGGCACAATGATAGTAATAATGGGGATCAGGTGCTTATTAGATGCCAGGCCCAATGCTAATTTCTTTTTATGTCTGGGTCTAATTGAAATCTATCTACCCTTGGAGGAAGGCCGTCTTCTGAGGATATTAGGACCCACTTTATATAAAACTGTAGAGACCCTTAGCAAGCATCAGATGACAGCAGGGGAAAGTGAGGCTCAGGTGCTGGTACACTTGGCCAAAGTCTCTGCTTTGCAGGGGTTTCTCTTCCCCTGCCCCCTCAGGTCTCATAACCCTGGGAGTAAATCTCATGGAAGCCAGAGACACAAAAATAGGCACAGAAGACCCTTCACAACTACTTCCTATGTGCCAAAGCCCCCACTCTCCACCCCAGTGCACCCACACCCCAGATCTTTAAGGTCTGCTGCTTTCAACAGTATCCATGTTGTCAAATACAAAATTTGACACAAATATCCTTTCCGGAGACTTGAACTCTTTCAGCCTGGCTCCCCTCTTTGCCTTGCCCCATGTCCTTGCTAGATTATAAACAGTTCCCCAGTCATTAAATCCGGCCAAAGAAACACTCCAGGGCGACTTCACACTTTACCTCAAAACACATCAGTGCTGCCCTGAACGTGTAAATAGAAAATGACAGGTTCCCCCTCCCGAAACCTGAGCGCCTCGGAGCCCCCACCACCCCACCCCACCTCCAGCATCCAGGCTCACTCCACTTCCCACAGCCCTGCGAGCCAGGCGCTCATGGGAACCAGCAATTAGGGAAACATCCATTTTCATTATTAGCAAAATTAAAGCAGGCATGACTTTCAGAAACCAGGATCTGTTTCTCTTGAATCAAGTCTGTTCAAGAGGCAGCCCAGTCACGAATTGCATCCATTTCACGGCAGAGCCAGGGCGGCAGGTGAAGCACCACACCTGGTCATCACTGCACCTCGGAGCGTCTGCGTGACCCACAGTCCATCAGGCCATCCCGGGATGACTCAGTATGCAGCACTGTTTACATCTTTAGGGACCATCCCAGGGACCAAATTCTCAGTGCCATCCCTCCCATGCATCCCCTCCCTGAGGGGCCCACAATCCTGGGCTTTCACCCTTTTCCAGCCCACCCCTCTGGACGCTCCTCCCCAAAACAGCTGGGCTGACCCCAGACTACTCGGGCCAGCTCCCGGCTCCCCAAGCCAAGCAGGCACCAGGTGGGCGCCCGCAGACAGGTTCATTAAGTGGCGATGAGTGTCGGGATCTGCCGTGCTCTTCTCGGGTTACCACTCGAAAAGGAACTCCGCTACCAATATTCCTGCTGCTGACAGATCACCACGCCGCCCCGAGCCGGGCTTGGCTGAGTCTCCAGACAACCTGAGAGAGCTTCCCAAACTACCCAGCCGATTCGCCCAGCCCTGCACCCCCCCAAGACTTTCCATGCTCCAGCTGAAATCCCCAGGCACAACCCCCTCATCTGCAGGTGCTCAGAGGTGGCGGAGACCCCCTAGTAAACTCTCACTGGAATTTACCCAAAATAGCCACGGAGGCTCCACAAGGCACTGTTTCACTATGATGAATTGCTACTCAAAAAAGAGGACAAAGTCTAATCTGTGAAGCATCACCATGCACAAGTTCTGCAGCTTCCTTCTTCTCCTTAGACAATGGGAAATAAAATGTCAGCATTTCAGAGGCTGGCGATTTCCCTTAATGGTGCCTTTTGTCGGAAAACAGCAATTTTTTACATGGTAAGCAATCACCTCCCTCCTGCAGGCACACTGCACAGAAAGCGAGAAGCCTCTATTCCTCCAGCAGCCGGAGTCTCCTTCCCAGGTCTGGGGCCAAAAAATACAGCCACCACCTCCTCCCCCCAGCAGACACCACCAAACTGCCCCGGCTAGCCCAGAAAGGAACCTTCTCGCCGCCCAGCAACTGGGCAGAGCAAAGCCACTACTCTTAACTGCCCTTAGCCGACTGTGTAATGATACAAGGACAACCGAGTATAAAACAGGCCCGCCCAGGACAGCCATCCCCACAGACCAATCCACACACACACTGGAGACCCTCTAAGCGCAGTGCAAGGCTCACTTACCTTCCGGCTCCAGTGTTGTATCCTCAACTAAACTGAATGAGGGCCGGGCCAGGGACAAGGTTGCCATGGTGACCACAACCAGGCAGATGAAGTGACCCCAGCTGACCATGGTTAGGGTGCCAATGCCCGGGCCTCTTCCGTATCTCCATGTGGACGTTAATCCCATCTGCACACTTCGGCTACGGGCATGGACCGCCAGCGATGCCTCCAGCCTGTGGTGGGCTCAGGGACCAGGTGCTGCTGCAGCCGCTGCTGGCCTCGCCTCTGCGCCTGTCACAGCGGCTACGGGAGGAAAGAGAGGTGGCGAGTCAGTGACAGCGTCCCCAGCCGGTCCACTCAAGCTCGACTGGGAGAAAGGCCTTGCTCAGCCTTTATTCAGCTCTTAATCATCTTCTCTATCTGCAAAGGCCTCCCATGCTCACCTTCGGCTCCCAGGTGTGTCCACACAGAGGCTCTGTTAATGGCTAACCTTCCTTACCTAAGGCAGACTTAACAGACACCCAGATAAGGACCTAGAACTACTCAGCCACACGACCCTGTCAGTGGGGCAAGGGGCTCTCTGCCGCCTATGGAAAGCAGAAGCAGCGTGACCTTCCACCCAAGGGCAACTACAAATGCAAGTTCAAATATGCTCGGGTGGTATCAGCAGCTGAGCTCGCAGCCCATGGGCCTCCCTGGGCGTGAGAGGGCTGACCCACAGGCGTCTGCTCGCAGCCTTGGATCCCTGCACGGCAACCCTGGGACGGTCTCCCTGTCCTCCCCGGAGCTCCTCAGGAAGCAAGCTGGCCAGAGAAGGAGAAAGCCCAGGAAGACGACCCACGGGTCCCGGCGGTGTCCCGTGCCACGGTTCATTATCAAATGCTGATGGGCTTGTCCTTTCTTGCACCCATCAGCTACTTGGGAAGGACAAATGATGGCGCCGCACAACAGTCACACGACAGGCGCCTCATCGGGGTTTGGCACAACTCTGGTTTCCTTCCTGGTGGACCAGGTCTAGAAACGTCCTCAACCTAGTGCTGGTGGTGATGGTGGTGGTGGTGTTGAGTGCCTTCGAGTTAAGTACAACTCATAGCGACCCTATGAACAAAAGGCCTGAAGCCCCTCTACAACTATCAACATTTATCAAAGTTCATAGAGTTTCCGGGGGCATGTTATTTAGGAAGTGGATGCCACTCCTGCTTCCAACTGAGGGTGGGGAAGAAATGGAAGTCGATGCCGACGTACGTTTCCACATGAACAGGGGCCAGGCTTTACCCCAACAGTGACAATACCATGCTAATTCTCGACATGGCGCATGATTGGCTGTTAAATCCCGATGTGCTCGCCATTGGCTACAATTTCAGGAGTTAACAAGGGGGCGCTCGCCACCACTCTTTCATCCACTCATTTGATCCAAACGATTTCAAGACAAAGATCATTTCCAAAGAGAACTTAAAGTATTTTAAGTAACTTTAAGGTCATTCACTTTCTAAGTGTCTAGTCAAAACAGACGTTGATTAAAGTGATCAGCAGGAGAGCATATATTAACTTTGTGGGCTTCGAATCACTCACTGATCCACACAAGAGAATCAGATCGTGTAAGACGTGGGAGGTGAAGTGAGACCTTGAACGTTAGCTAACTGCTCGGAGACCGGTGGTGAAATGGTTGAGCTGTAAGCTGGTAACCAAAACCTTGGCAGCTGGAAGACAATCCAGGGCTCAGAGGAAGAAGAAAGGCCTGGGTCGCCACTGTCATCACAGTGATTCTAAACACACAAACTGTAGAACAGAGCAGGACTGCCCCAGAGCCTCCCAAGACTACATCTTTACGGAAGTACACCGACTCATCGTTCTGACGCTGCCTCAGTGAAACTGCAGGCTTTCCAATTAGTATCCAAGCTGCTTGACCACTGTGCAATCAGAGCTCTGTTCTCACAGCTTAGGGACAGCTCTGGTGGTAGAAAGCTGAGCTGCAATCCCAAAGGTGTGTGGTTCAAATCCACCAGCTGCTGCATGGGAGAAGGACTATCTCCTCTTGGGTGATTTACTGCCTCCAAAAACCTGCTGGAAGGTAGCTAAGGGTCTGTTGGGACTCAACAGCACAAATCAACAGGAAACCCTACGGGACAGTTCTACTGTCACACAGAGTGAGTGACTGAGTCAAAAACCAACTCAACAGCGCCCCACAGCAAATGCCAACATGGGTGGTACTTGTCACAGGCTGTACCACTGGAGTCTGGCCGCTAAACCCTGGAAACCAGCAAAGTCCTTCTAACCTTGAAAGGGAGTGAGGGCTGAGAGCAGAGAGGGCTGAGTGCAGGGAGGGCTGAGGGCCACAAGGCCCAGACACCATTTCCAAAGGACAAAGACCGCAAAGCTCACTTTCTAAGAAAGCTTCAGCAAAACTGACTTCATGGAGAAGCGAGGAAAGAGTGAGGAAGACTTGAAGAACTCTCCTCTCTAACTTTGTTCCCCTCTTAAAGCTCAGGCCTCTGTGGAGAATCCCAGGTCTGTTCCCGTGTCCATGTGGGAGACTGCATGGAGTTATTTTACCTCTCATCCAACTTCAGGGACACTGCTGCACCACCACCCTCCCTGCACGGGGCCTTCTTCCCTCCTGGGAAGGCGAGCTGAGGCCTCCCCAAACCCTCCAGCCATCAGGGTCCACCAGCCAAAGCAGAGCCATGGAGCCGCCCCAGCCCCGGGCAGCCCTACTGAACAACTAGAATAGTCCACCAGTTCCCAAAGCCGTCAATCTCTCCTGAACCGGCTGCCCTCTAGGCGCTGCTGGTGCCTTGAGCCAGAGACGGCTGCTTGGCAGCCGGGTGCTTTAAAAAAATTGCTGCACCACTACGGTCTCTTCATTTCCCCTACAAACCTGCCGTCCCAGCTCCAGGCCCCCCTGGTGGTGACCAGAACTGTGCCGGCCTGGGCGGAGGGACCTGGGGCTCTGCAGCGCTGAGGATAGAGTAAACGAAGTGCGGAGCGAGCCCCCAGGCGGGGTAATTAGGTCCCGAGCCTGGAGTTGGGAACACAGGCCCAGCACGCCACCGGCGGCCACAATCCGGCTTCCTGCCTGCAAGACCATAATCCTTCCTGGAGCCCAGCGCCAGTGAAAGCCGGGCGTGTTTATTTTTCCCCTTGAAAGGGAACTCTCTTCTCAGCCCGAATGCTGGAGGAGTTGTCAGCTTGCCTCTGACGGATGGGTCTTCTCCCATCTGTGAACCAGGGGGAGTTTCACTCCACACAAGCCTGTCCCTAGGTCGGGCGCGCAGACCAGACCCAGAGTGACAGTTCCCAAACGTCCCACAACCCCACGCCCCCACCCTGCAAGAAGTGTGCTCCACGCAGGGTGCTGGTCCTCACTGGATGCCCACCTTTGGGACCGAGCACCGGGGCATCCCACACTGCGCCCCTGGACTCGCTGCGCCAAGCTGTACTTTACATCTGCGACGTCAACACCGCCTCCCCGAGGCTGGGAAAGCCCGCCCCCCCCCCGGCACGCCCATCTCCAGGCTCAAAACCTTCCTACTGCTCCCCCTACCCCCCAAAGCTGAGCAGAGCAGGTAGCTGCCAAGGTGTTAAACCTGGAGGGAAAAATTCCTCCACATACACAAACTGCTGGGGAAAAAAGCACAGAGGGACCGAAGCCGGCAGCGCGCGCCTGCGGACGCCGCGAGCCAGCCTGGGGGTTGGGGGGGGGCTCCGCTCGGCTCCCCGCGCCGCCGCCCCGTTTCACCAGAGCATGCCTTTCATTTGTTTGCCTGGAATAGTCGGGGTTTTCACCCAATTCTCGCGCCCCGGAGCCGGGAGAAATCTGCATTTTAATTGACAGTCCGGGGAGAGGGTGCCCGATTGCTTTTCTATTCAAACTAAACAGGCTTTTCAGATGAAAATGAGTCGTGGCCGGTGGAAGATTTACGGGGATTTGGTCCCAAGGGACAATGGAGTTTTAAATGTTGATAGCATTTCACACCAAGCATAATAGGTACTGAGAGTTTGAAAGTGGGCTGGCCGGGAAGAGCCGTTTTTACTGAACTGGGTCGGAGGCAGGAAGGGCCGGACGACTGGGCCCGCCGGCCGTGCAGCTCAAGGGCCCGCCCGGCTCCGGTGCGCAGAGCTGCCCGTGCGCCTCGGTGGAAGGGCTGCGCCTCGCGGAGCGCGCTGCCGGCTCCCCAGTGTGCGCGGCGCTGCAGGAATGAGCGCAAGTCCCAACTCGCCGGTGCTTTCGACACTGCGGGCGGGGAGCCGGGAACGGCGGGGCGGCCCGCCCCCAGATCCGGGCGCCGCGCTCCGCCTGCCCGTCTGCCTGCGCCGGCTGCAAGCACCACAATCGGGGTACCCTTTCTGTGTTCCCATTCGGCATCGCCATCTCCACGGGAATAGCAATCCGGCTACATGCGGTCAGTCCCACTCCTGTGACACCCTCTCGCCCCCTGGTACCCTGTCGGCGTCTGGACAGGGTCAGGCCGGCACTCCCCAAGCTCAAGGAGAGGTACCCCGCAAGGACCCTGCCTGCCGGGCGGTGGGACCAGTGCATAGCCTCGCCGGCCGCCCGTCAGGGGTTGGAGGGACTCTGGACTGAGTCCTCGGAGTTTGACAGGCGGGGGGTGTCAGCACAAGAGGCAGATGTCAGCATCTGGATGGAGTACTGGAGGCAGGGCTGGCCCAAGTGAACCGTGAGCACGCATCCACACGTCCCCCATCACCTAACCAGAAAGAGGGGCCAGCTCTCCAGGGGTCTGCTCTGCCGCGCCTTCTCGTGGGGGCCAGCCCGGGCGCCTCCTCTGTCCCACCGGGCGATTACCTTGAATAGCAACCCGGCTTGTCGATCTCAGGTCCCCGCGGCCGGCGTGGGTCCGTATGGCTGGAGCGCCGAGCTCCGGGGTCCCTCGGGGGAAACTCCAGCCGAGAGTCGTTCCCGGCTCCCGGAGGCGCAGAGGCTCCGGCTTCACGCGCAGCTCGGGCGGCGGACGAGCGCGGGCATGACGCCCTCGGCTGCGCTCTGGTTTGGGGAGCGAGAGGAAGAAAGGACTCCGGCTCTGCGTCTCCGCCGCCAAACTTTGCCGGCCACTGGCGAGCGGGGAGAGCGCGCCCGGGAGCTGCGGCCTCGGGGCACCGCCGGCCTCGGGAGGAGTCGCCGCGCCCGGCCAGGTCCGCCGCATGCAGCCCCGCGGCCCCGAGCTTTGTGCGGCC